TGTGTGTGTGTGTGTGTGTGTGTGTGTGTGTGTGTGTGTGTGTGTGTGTTTGTGCTTTTTGTCTTCACATAGGCTACAGTCTGGCATTTCTTCCCCTCATCTTTCCGGCTCTGCGTTTCCTCGCTCAGACCGGCAGTCTGGACTGCGTTGAATAATGTAAGCAGCGCTCTTCCCAACCTTAAAAATCTCCTAATTGCCCTGTTGAAGGGGCCACATCAACAGCTAGTCTTGAGCTCATCAAACCTATACTGTTTATGAACAAAGGCATGTGTTACAGTCAACGTGGAGGAAGACGATCTGTGTTTTCGTCCTTTCCGATCCAGATTCTCTCACTTTTGGGTGTAGTTAACAACCCTTTTCAATTAGGATCTAATAAAAGACTACTTTTGTGAGATTATGGTGCATCCTGGAGAGCAGTGAGTCCCTGGCTCAGCATCCCAGAATTGATAAAGTTACAGCATTCATAAAAATTTGGATGATATAAGAAGAGAAAAAAAACAGAGTGAATTTTTTTTCATATTTTTCTTTCTTTTTCATTTTTAGGTTTGTTCTGCTGTGTAATGTCTGTGTGTTGCCGCTGAAAAGGTGCTGTAATGAAAGATGGGACTGTGTAGAGAGAACAAACACACGAGACAGATGATTGGCTCTCATCAGATGTGGGGAAATGTGAAGCCAAGAATCTGTCAAGTTGTTTCCGAACGGAGAGGTGATTCTTCTCCTCTTTCTTAGTCCACTGGCTTTAATGAAGGCAGACTGTGCTCTGTGTGTTTTTCTCATTATACAAAATAAAGAGGTTGTCATTACTGCAYTGTCACCACTGGCACCCTAAGCTGCATTCTTCTGTTGGGTCTGATAATTTAGCCAGTGGATTGGTTGTTTCCCTCTTTTTCCGTGTTTCTTGGTTCTATTTATAGATCTCCTTCTTATTCGTCTCTTTTTGTTTCGGAGAAAGAAACCGTGCACGGTGCGTCTACGTTCACTCGATGTGAAAGTCGCACACTTGCCTACATCCACAGCTATGGAAGGAGCACACATGATGTCCTCTTTAAGGGAAGCC